GGGGGGGAGGAGGCTGGAACATAGCTTAGTAGTACAGTGCTAAATTGATATGGTCAAGCCCTGAGTTTTAACCTCTAGCACCACACAAAAAAATCTAGGCATCAGTAGACAGTATGAAATGCAGAGTAGACTTACGTTTCTTTTTCTTTTCCTTGTTGATGGAAGAACTGGGGCATTGAGCTCTTGCTTGGCTTTTCCTATCAAGGCTGGTGCTAGTTAATTGGAAGTTAAGGTTCAAACGGTAGAACACCAGCCTTGAGTAAAAGAGCCAAGCAAGAATGTGAGGCCTTGCCAGGAGCTGATAGCTCACCCCTATAATCCTAGCTACTCAGGAGGCTGAGATCTGAGGATCGCAGCTGCCTTGCATGCATGAGGCCCTGGTTCAATTCCTCAGCACCACATAAGTAGAATAAAAGCCAGAAGTGGCACTGTAGCTCAAGTGGTAGAGTGCTAGCCTTGAGCTGAAGAGCTGAGGGACAGTGCCCAGGCCCAGAGTTCAGGGCCCAAGACAGGCCAAAAAAAAAAAAAAATCCTGCCTTGCAGGAAAGTCCGCAAGACCTTTTTTTCTTTTTGGTCCAGTCGTGGGGCCTGAACTCTGGGCCTGGGCACTGTCCCTCAGCTCTTCAGCTCAAGGCTAGCGCTCTACCACTTGAGCCACTTTCCCAGCCCTTGAGATCAGAGTCTTAGGGGCTTACCTACCCACTCTGGCTTTGAATTCAGATCCTAAAATCTCAGCCTCCTGAGTAACTAGGATTACAGGTGTGAGCCACAGACCCAGCTAACATTGAATTTTTTTATAGCTCTGAAATCACTCTATCCTACAAATCCTGGTAAGTCATCATTTAAATGGTGTTACTTTTTTCCCTTTCTTTCTCAGGGATGCTTAAAATAATAGTGCATTTTAGGTACTCACTAGACACTGTGTTGAAAACAAACTACACAACTTGTGGGTGGGGATGGGAAGGTAAAACTGAGAGAGGAGGGACTGGGAAGGTGGCTCAGTGGTAGAGTGTTTGCCTTGCACGCATGAGGCCCTGGGTTCAATTCCTCAGCACCACATAAGCAGAAAAAGCTGGAAATGGCACTGTGGCTCAAGTGGTAGAGTGCTAACCTTGAGCTGAACAGCTGAGGGACAGGGCCCAGGCCCAGAATTCAAGCCCTATGACTGACTAAAAAAAAAATGAGGAGGAAAGAAGGAGTGACATTATCCAAAAAGAAATGTACTCATATCTGGCACTGGTAGCTCACACCTATAATCCTAGCTATTCAAGAGGCTGAGATCTGAGGATCACGGTTCAAAGCCAGCCCGGCAGGAATGTCCATGAAACCCTTATCTCCAATTAACCACCAGAAAACCGGAAGTGGCACTGTGGCTCAAGTGGTAGAGCACTAGCCTTGAGCTGAAGAACTCAGGGCCAGCACACAAGCCCAGAGCTCAAGCCCCAAGATTGACACACATACACACACACGCACACACACACGCGCGCACACACACACACACAAGAAATGTACTTATTACCTGATTTATGTAAATGTAGCCTCTCTATACATCACCTTTATAATAAAAAAATTTTAAAGTGCATTTTGCAAACAGGAATTCAGTTGATACAACACAGTTCTAACAACAACATCAACACAGCAGTGGGGTTAACAGTTACCATTGTTAGATATCTGAGAGGGGCAGACACTGCAAAAAAGTCATCTTTGTATGGGGGGGTGGGGGTCAGGTCGTGGGGCCTGAATTCTGGGTCTGGGCGCTGTCCCTCAGCTCTTCAGCTCAAGGCTAACGGTCTACCACTTGAGCCACAGCGCCACTTCTGGCTTTTTTCTTTTTACTTATGTGGTGCTGAGGAATAGAACCCAGGGCCTTATGCATGCAAGGCAAGTGCTCTACCACTGAGCCACCTTCCCAGCCCAACTTTGAGCACTTGATTAGTTTTTTCTGTTCAAGGCTGATACTTGAGCCACAGCTCTATCTCTGGCTTGTGTTGGTTAATTGAAGATAGAGTTTCAAGGGCCGGGAGCTAGAGGCTCACGCCTGTAATACTAGCTACTCAGGAGGCTGAGATCTGAAGATCACGGTTCAAAACCAGCCCGGGCAGGAAAATCCCTGAGACTCTTATCTCCAATAAACCACCAGAAAACTGGAAATGGCGCTGTAGCTCAAGTGGTAGAGTGCTTGCCTTGAGCTGAGGAGCTGAGAGACAGTGTTCACACCCAGAGTTCAAGCCCCACGGCCAACCAAAAAAAAAAAAGTTTCATGGGCTTTCTTTCTTGGACTGGCTTTGAACCCCCATCTTCAGATCTCAACCTCCTGAGCAGCTAAAATTACAAGTTTGAGCCACCAAGGGCACATCTAAGTAATTTTTGCTATAGATCAGAAGCTGGGCATTTAAAAAATAAAACTGACCCACCCACAAGTTGCATAGTTCATTTTCAACATAGTATCTAGTGATACCACTGCTGTTTGTTCACTAGTTGGCCTTCCATTTCTGTGCCTCCTGCTGGCATTTTTTATTCTCATAAATAAATGGAGAAACAGGCTCAGAGAGGTCAGGAAACTTAGTCAATTTCTTTGCTTTGCTTTTCTGTTTTTTTTTTTTTTTTTGCCAGTCCTGAGGCCTTGAACCTCTCTGTGCTCAAGTTAGCACTCTTTTGCTGTTTATATGGTACTGAGTAATTGAACCCATGGCTTCATGCATGCTAGGCAAGCACTCTCCCACTAAGCCATATTCCCAAGCCCTTTCCTATCTTTTCTTTTGCTATACTGGGGATGGAAACCCAGGCCTTGTGCATGCTGGATAGTGCTTTACCACTAGCTACATCTCAGCTTTTCAGTCAGTTTTACCCAGATCCATTTGTGATGCAAGTGGCACTCCAGGGCCTTCATTGAGAATGACTGTCTTCCACAGCTCCGTGCCAATAACTCATGTCTGTAATCCTAGCTACTCAAGAGGCTGAGTTCTAAGGATTGCAGTTCAAAGCCACCCAGGTAGGAAATTCAGCGAGACTCTTACCTCAAATAAATTATAAAAAAGACTGAGATGGAGCTGTGGCTCAAGTGGTAGAGCACTCGCCTGAAGCACAAAAGCTCAGGGACAGCACCTAAACCCTGAATTTAGGTCCCAGGACTGGCCCTGAGTTCAAGATCCAGGACTTGCAAATCCCAGGACTGAAAGAAAAGAGCCACAGCAACACTGGCTGCTGCTGGTTAATTGGAGATTTAGTCTCATGGAATTTTCTGTCCCGGCTGGCTTTGAACTGTGATCCTCCGATGTCAGCCTCCTGAGTAGCTAGAATTACCAGCTTGGTGCCTTGCTTGCAGCAAGGTTTTAAAGACAAAGGCCACTTGTTGGGTGGAGAGCCAGCCTCAGCAAAGCATTAAGCATAAATACAACACTAAGAGCAGGGCCCCCCTGGGGCTAAACAACACAACGAATCTACATATTCCCCAAAGCGGGG